ACCGTTACATCATGATTTTTCTTTTTATAACCGTCGAAAAGTTTTGTCTCATTACTTGATCTCTGAATGTTTGTTTTTTGCAAGTTCTGGCATATGAGATCTCAAATAATATAAAAACATGTTTGACGGTTTGATCGTTGAAACTAGTTTTATAGAATGTGTATCCCATCAAAACAATAGATTCACTAACACTTAAGAGTTTATTTATACTTTCATTAAGTATAACATAAGATTTTGTGGTATCCACTAGTGTAAATATTTTAAATTGAAGATCGAATTCATTCATTGTATTCATATAGGGTTAAGGAGTGTAGCTGTAAAAAATCATCAAAATCAGAGTTAAAATAACCGTTAAATCATGATTTTTGTTTTTATAACCGTCGAAAGGTTTTGTCCCGTTACTTGATCTCTATATGTTTTTTTTTTTTTTGCAATTTTTGGCGTATGCGATCTCGAAGTATATACAAACATGTTTGACGGTTAGATCGTTGAAACTAGTTTCATATAATGCTTATCCCATCAAAACAATAGATTCACTAACACTTAAGAGTTTATTCATACTTTCATTAAGTATAACATAAGATTTTAAATTGAAGATCAAATTCTTTCATTGTATTCATATAGGGTCAAGGAGTGCAGCTGTAAAAAATCATCAAAATCGGAGTTAAAATAACTGTTCAATCGTGATTTTTCGTTTTATAACCGTCGAAATTTTTTGTTCGGTTACTTAATCTTTGAATATTTATTTTTTTACAATATTTGGTTTATGCGATCTCGAAGTATATACAAACATGTTTGACGGTTGGATCGTTGAAACTAGTTTCGTAGAATGCGTATTCCATCAAAACAATATATTCACTAACACTTAAGAGTTTATTCATACTTTCATTAAGTATAATATAAAATCCACTAGTGTAAATATTTTAAATTGAAGATCGAATTCATTCATTGTATTTATATAGGGTCAAGGAGTGTAGCTGTAAAAAATCATAAAAATTGGAGTTAAAATAACCGTTAAATTGTGATTTTTCTTTTTATAACCGTCGAAAAGTTTTGTTCGGTTATTTGATATCTGAATGTTTGTTTTTTGTGATTTTTTAATGATGCGATCTTGAAGCATATACAAACAAGTTTGACGGTTGGATCGTTGAAATTAGTTTCGTATAATTCGTATCCCATTAAGTTTAATAGTGTATATATATATATATATATATTTATTAAGTAGATTTAAATCTATTTATTTTGTACATATAATTATTATAGTTTTTAGGGGTATAAAATTTAATTTAAAATTATATATATAATTATTATAGTAAATATTTTGGGGGTATAATTATTATAGTATATATAAGTATTATAATTATTATAGTTAATTTAATATATATATATATATATATAATTATAGTATTTTTTAGGGTTATAAAATTATTAAATTAATACTTTGCTTATCGTGTATCGTGTTACTTATGTGTATACCCGAATCAACATGATCGGATTACCCGATTTGTCATTATGTCGACCCGAACATCTATTAATTTCGTATCGTATCGTATCGTGTTTGGTTATCAAGTCGTGTCAGGAATTGCCAGGCCTAACATAGACGGATTCGGTTTAGCCTAACCCAAATTGCACCCATAGTTTAAGTCAACTCGAATAAGGCCCAAAATAATTGCCACGCAATCAAGCATCTACAAACCGTCCGATCCAAGATCAACGTCGTACGTTGCACAATATGACGTGTCTAATTACTAGCATAAAACGGGGAGACGAAAGCAAGGTATGTTCGCAGTTCACTGACGAGGAAGAAGATGGCGCGCGCGAGTTCATACATCTTGGTACTGATGGTGGTTGCGATGGCCGTGAGGGCGGAGCGAAATAGTAACAATACGGGAAGGGTATATTGGTCCAGTGCAGAAGACGAGGCGCAGGCTCAGACTCGGACTCAGCCTCGGGACGACGATACCGAGGTCGCTGACCTTGACGCCGACGGTGGCTTCTCTTCTCTGGAGGGAATGTTACAGTGGGCCATAGGCCACTCCGATCCAGTCCAATTGAAAGAGAAGGCGCGAGATGTCGAGCGATTGTCTCCCGCCGACCTAAACGACCGCCGGCTAGAAATAAAGCAGCTCATGGACGAGCTGAAGACGCCGTCGGACGCGCAGCTGATGCAGATTGCGATTGACGACTTGAGTAACTCGTCGCTGTCGTTGGAAGATCGGCACCGTGCTCTGGAGGAACTGCTGGTGCTGGTGGAGCCGATTGATAACGCAAATGGTAAGTCTGATTTGGGTGATTAGGTATTGCTTAATGAGTAAATTGAAGTATTTGACTGTCTGGCTCTCAGATTTGGACAAGCTTGGGGGGATTGCTGCGGTTATAGGAGAGCTTAATCACGGTGACGCAGATACAAGAAAATTGGCTGCTTGGGTACTTGGGACGGCCAGTCAGAACAACCCAGTTGTTCAGAAGCAGGTACGATGACGATATGCAATATTATTCGTTGAACTTGTGTAATTAAGTGTTAGGTATACTCGATTCGATTGACTAAATTGTGAGCACCTCAGGTTCTGGAGCACGGGGCATTGCCCAAGCTAGTAAAGATGGTGAAATCTAGCTTTGTAGAAGAAGCTACTAAGGCATTGTTTGCTGTTTCGGCGTTGATCCGAAACAATGTAGCTGGGCAAGAGTTGTTCTACGTGGAAGATGGGCATTTAGTCCTTCAGGTGAGGTGACTGCTTTAGAATGAGTAAATTAAAGCATGTTAATGAGTAATTTATGTGGCACAGATTATTGCAACTGAAGTAAAAATTTCTGCTTTTAGGACATTATGAGTGAAGCAAGCATTGATATCAGACTGCGAAGGAAAGCGGTGTTTCTTCTTGGTGACCTTGCTGAGTGTCAATTGGAAAACACGGATAAGGATGAGCTGCCCTTTTTCAGTAATCGGGTTTTCTTGAAGTCTGTGGTTGATCTAACATCATCTGCTGACCTTGATTTGCAGGAGAAGGTGCTTTTTTAAGAATTAGTGTAATTGAATTTTGTTATCTTTACTGAATTTTAAGTTGTCTTCTTTAGGACTCGCCTTAATCGGTCTAGGATTATGGGTTGTATTCTTATGTGCTTACTGCACTTACACACGATTTGCTGATTGGTAGATTATGAAGTTGGTGACTTTATGATGGCATTTATGATAACCAGTTTTTCTTCATTTGCAACGGTAAGCAGGCCCTCGTCGCACTTAAGAATCTTCTACAACTCAGGACAACCGAAGCTCTGGTTTTTAAGAACTTTTGTGGGTTGGATGGTGCCTTGGAGAGATTGAGACAGCGACTGCAGGGTTTAATGGTAGAGGAAGACCACAGAGATTATGCGGTGGATGTCGAAAGCATCCGCAGTGAAGTGCAGCAGATTTTCAATAGAAAGTTGGAAAAGGTAGCGACTAGACTTGTTGTCTTTGGAGTAATCTGTTGAGTTTCTTGAGTAATTTACTTTTGGTCTTAACTCGCATCCTATCATTTTCTTTAACTTAGCATCCTATGAACGACAGGTAACGCGAGTTCCTACATGATGCGAATGCAATCCTTAAACAACATTACATACTTGGAGACGTCTGGTGCACTTGTAACTTACGTAATGCTCTTGATCTTGGATCCGTACATAGCAAACATTTCAAAGTATGGTATCTTTCCCTAGAAGAAAGACTAGGGTAAGGCTTTGGTTGTAACTTGTAGTCGTAGATTGGATTGCTTGATAGATGAAAACTTCAGGGGCAGAAATGTTATGTGTTAAGGTTATGATCTTTACGAAAAATGCATACATGCATATATATGCTGCCATATTCATGTTCCTTTTCACACATGTGCTTTGACAGCGTGATGGAAGTTAAAGTTTCACTTGGCAACCAATTGGCCATCTCTCATGGGGAGTACTCTTACACTTTGATGTAATAGTCGGACTCTTCTAGGAATGAAGTAGGTGGCTAGTCCATAGCTAAACTGTTAAATAGCAATTTTTCTCATAGGCACCTAAAAGCATTTGACCTAAAAAGGCCGGCATTTAGGGTGTTCTATGGTACCTGGTACTTTGAGTGTTTTAATCGTTAAATCTTAATTTTTTTTTTTTAGACAAAGATGCAACTGTTTTTAGACCGAAGCACCCAAGAAAGTCCCGGCATTTAGGGAGTTCCATAGTATCTGGTAATTTGAGTATTTTAATCGTTAAATCTTAATATTTTTTTTTTTTAGACAAAGATGTAACTGTTTTTAGACCGAAGCACCCAAGAAAGTCCCGGTGATTTGGACCAGCGTGCTGTGCTTTTCTATATCATTTTCCAACTATTTTCTCACAAGGTAATTATGAAGATAAAAGTCCTCTCTGCTGTGGATTTGCTCACAAGCACTTTTGACTTCATCGACTTGTTATCAAGGATGCTGACGTGTGACATCGAGCTCGCGCCAACGTCTATTTGTCGTGCAAGAAAAATGAGAAATTTTGAAAATGTTACAATAAATTAAGAGAGGGGCAGTATCGAATTTATTTCCTATCATATGACTTGTATCAAAATACGAGAAAAAAAAAAATTTTTATACGTAAAGAAGTTTTATGAGTTGTTAATATCTGATCATTATATTATCGATTTTTAATTGCTATTTTTTAATTATTAATCTGTCGTTGATATTCAAAAAACGAAATTTAATTAATGTAACTAATTTTTCTAAATATTTTGACAAAAAAAAGTAGGAATTTGATGGTTGAAGTAGTAGGTGAACGTCCTCCTTCAATCAATAACTTTTGACAAAAAAATTAACGTTAATTTAATGTCCAACCAATGACTAGTTTATTTAGTTGAAGCCTCAAGGGTTGGTGTACGACCTTTCTATTTTACAACTCACCAAACCCAGGTTACAACTTGCAAGTAGGTGGGTCCCCCGGGTCTGTCGTCGTAGGTAGGCCTGTCACTCTCGGGGGTTCTGGATAACTAGACCCTGTTAACTACCAAGCAAAATACACGTCTCGCCATTTTCTTTCAACTTGGACGAGCAATCAATCGTCTTCCCATCAACCAGTCCCCGCCCCCACGACTTCTGGATTCTAGAGCGAGAGAGTTTTAGAGGAGAGAGAGAGAGAGACTTGGGGTGTGGAGGATCGTGGACTGAAAAACAATGGCTTTGCAGACCAGTACCAGCAGCAGTGCCCTGCTCTCGACATCTCCGCCGGTTCCTTCTGGGGCCGCTTCCGTTCGACTCCGAGCCCGAATGGTCGGAGCTGGAATCTGGGGTCGGAGGAAAACGGGAGGGGGGGGAAGGGTTTGTATGATCGCATGCAGGAGCAGCATCGGCGGCCATGGCGGCGGAAAGAAGGGAGTGCCCAGTTCGAATTATGTGGTGCCCCTAGACAAATCGTTTTCGTACACCAACTCTTCCTGCATCACTCGCCCTCTCGCTGAAATCCTCAGAGACCTCAATAAGAGAATCCCTGACAACATCATCCAGACGCCACCTGAAAATCCCTCCTCCACCTTCATCCCCTGGTAATTTTCTCTTCTCTCTTTTCACTTTCCATTTGATTTTCTGGTTGACCAAACAAATCTCATGGAAATTTTTTGTATTTTTGTGTATTGGGTAGGTACCATGCGAACCGGATGCTGAGCTTCTACGCTCCTGGTGTGTCCTTTCTTATCCTCATCTTCTCAATTTGCAGATTCATAAGCTTCAATCATGCTCTTTATCTCAATTTTTAATTGCTCTCAAAACCCCACCTTTTTGTTTTTCAGAAATGTTTTGCAATCTGTTTCTCCCTTTTGTAATCATTGCTTGGCAATTGGTGTATTTTTAACTGTTAATCTGATTTCAGTAAACAATTAACTATCTGCATTTTTCCTTTCAACCATTCTTCAATACTTGTGCAAGTACACAACTTGAGATATACGAATACCAAGTCTACGTTTTCCTCTCAAAATTTCAATTCGTTGGAGCGACTCAGTGACGAGTGACGAGTGAGTAATTATAGATTGGTGTTCATCATTGTCCTTAATTCCGAATTGGTCCAAGTTAGTTTACGAAACCTTGATGCATGCGGTACGAATTTTAGGCAGAGTATTAAGATCAGCAGCCCAATTCAAATTTATGAGCTTCTGGTAGTTTGCCGACTGCTACTCTCTTGCTTTGTCTAGTGACACTAGACTTTATCTAGTTTCTAGTGAATCTCCGTATGTTTTCAGTTGTTTAACACTCGTTTTGACAGGATGGTGTGGAGAAATCCGTGATGTTATATTTTCTGACAATGGAAGTGTGACTGTGGTATACCGTGTCACTGTACGTGGATCTGATGGAGAGGTCTGGTTCTTCTACTTTGTACTGTGGTTCATTTATACGTTATTAATATTTCATGTTTGATAACTAGTTACCATATAACAATTATATTCATACCTCTGGACTAGGATCATTCTTTGCTATGGCTTATTGTATTATACATGCCATTAGAAATCACTACAGTTGCATATTCAACTTTACAACAACAACAACAAAGCCGTATCCCACTAAGTGGGGTCCGTTATTTGAATCCTAAAATGCCACTGCGCTCAGTTTTGCGCCAAGTCTTCTGTTAGCTTGAAGCACTCCATCTCTTTTCTTAATGTCTCTTTCCAAGTCTTCCCAGGTCTTCCTCTACCCCTTTCGCCTTGAGCTGTCTCATGTTCAACTTTAAAAGAAAAAGAAAAACTTCGGTATGCATATTTTTGCATGTTTAAGAAAGAATGCAGCACCGTCAGATGTTACATTGAGTTCAATAGAACAGGTTCGGGTGTCAATTGGAATACTGATTTAGCTTATCGTTAGATCCTAATTTTGAGTTTCAGCTGAGGGTATGTAAAAATAAATTATTTCTGTCTGATTGCTTTGAATTTATGGAACACTGGTCCTAAAGAAAAAAAAAAAATACTGTCAAGCATTAGGAAGTGAATCTTTCATGTATTGTTCATCTTATCATTTTGGTGGCTGATTACTTTTAAGATGGAGACTTGGGTGGAAGAGAAAACGGTTTGTTAACGAGCACTTAATACTTACTGAATTTAAGTCTGAACGGGAATGTGAAATTGAACTATGTTAAATGACATAATTGAGTGCCTGAAAAGGGGCACAAGCCTTTTATGCAACAATATGCCTATTGAAATGAGGCAACCAATTGGACAGTGTTGCACAAGTAAATAACTAGAAGAATGTCTTTCTCTCTTCTAGTTCAAATTCAAAGGCAGTGAGGAAACTATGTATAATTATTGGCTGGATGCCTTGTTTTCGGGAAGTGGTGTATTCCCGATGTTATACGTGAGAATTAGCCAATTAGGTGCTGTAAGTTCACTCTTTCTGTTCCAAAATTAGTGCCGCGAGGAACATATTGATAACAAATTGGTCAATGTCTGTCTTTTGGTTTTTTTTTTTTTTCTTTGAGTCGTGCCCTTAACGTTGCTAGACTTAAATACCTACAGTTCTAATATTTGATCTGACACACCAATGCAGGCACACCGTGAATCAACTGGAACAGTAACACCCAGTGATGGCGACGTTGATCCAGTTGCTGCAGCTGAGCAACTTGCTTTCGTCAGAGCATGTTCTCGGTTTGGCCTTGGCCTGTATCTGTATCATGAAGATTAGAGGCAAAGAGACAGGGAGGATAGAGCTGCTCATCGTGTCATCTTTTTGTTTGATTTGTTAAGTCAGATTGCGCTTTATGCCTGTTGATGTATATATCTGACGGATGAGCTATCACATATATGCTGCAGATTCATATACATATGTTTAGGTTGTTGGGAACAAATAATCGTGAAAACGCTGCAGATAATAGATACGAATTCAGATATTGCAATCGCGTATTTATGAATCAATAGAAACAGTAAACTATTATTATCCTTGTTTCTGATGATTGTTTATGTACAAGACTTATTTTCATATCATTTCGATTCATCGTCCTATCGAAATACCACGTCGTCGTCTCGATGATATACAGACTGTTGTGTCTGATTTGTATGCTGTTACTTGTTCAACTCATCACGGCTTCAAGAGCTTCGGCCCTGTATTTGAAGTTATCCATGCCGCAACCACATCCACAAGCAGGCCTACGTCTTTAGATGCTTCTGCACGAAGTACCTTCGAGTCTACACCCCATGTGCTGCCTACTTCTTTAGCAACTGTCTCCCATGGTGTCCCGACAGTGAGATTGGCCAACATCTCACTCCCGCGATTTACTGCGTCTGCCATTGCTGGAGGCACATCCGGGAGCGTCTACATGATAGAAAGATTATTTATCTAAATTGGTTCTCTTTTAGAGATGGATCGAACTGGGGCTGCACTCGGTGAATCTAAGCATATATTTGAAAAACAGATGTCAAAAATAAAAGCTACGGAGGTTTATTCCCCACTAAATGGTTGGCACAAAATTCACCTGTTGCAAAGGAAGTCCGTGATCTCCAGGTAACAAGCGAATCGACATGTCTAGCATAGAACCGATGGCTGAATCTGAACTTAGCAACTCTGCCAATGTTGAAGTCTCATCAATCATATCATCCTTGAACTTCACCAGTAGATTCCTGGAAATACCGTAGTATGATTTTACCTGAAAAAAGCATAAATAGAGCGAAATTTAAGTGGTATACCTTAACTACAAAGAGAAAGTTAATACATTTGACTAAATATCATATAATCATGTAATTAAGAAGCACAGAAGCAATTTGTAAACAATTGATAGGTTTGCTTACAAGTCGCTGAGTTTCTTCAGGTTTTGGAGCAAAATCTTCTCTTCCTTTGACCAAGTCCATATACAGTGGAGGGAGCTGCTCAACTAAAGGAAGAACTTGCTTCATGATGGGAGGGCTAAGGTTTTCAAATTGCTTCAAAGTCATTTCTGCCTGCAAGCATTTCAATGTCCGAGTTTCTTTGTTACTAATCATATTAATTGCTAGAAATGAACAATGGAATTCATCAATGAGATGATTATATAATCAAGCTTATGCATCATGGTTTAAAACTAAAATAATCAAGTATGTACAAATTTACAACACATTAAATTTAGAAGTCTCACCCCTAGGCGGACTGTCGGTGATGATGCAATCTGTGATAAAATTGGTCCAAGGCCTTGAGCAACTGGAACGAGAACAGGTGAGAACAGAGGAATAGCTGAGCTTGCCTCCTGTCAAATTAAGGAATCAATCTCAAATTTTATACAGCAACAGTTTAAAAAACCATATACCGTGTTATTAAGCATGTGTTTAGAACTGTTATTTTTTTGTCTCGTTCTAAGTAAATATGGTGCACCTGAGGTGGCCATGGGATGTTAAGAGATGGCGTACCATTCAACTTGGTCATGGTAGATAAAGTAGGCAAAAAGAAGGGGGCATATAATGGATGTGCCGTCACTTTTCCTTCTATAGAATTTATGAGCTGAAATGTTGGATCTCTAAATTTTCTCAACGAAGAGAGAGTTCACTTCTGATCTCAGTTTCTTCTCTTCTCACCAAGTACTGACATGTATACTAACGAATTCAGGAAGTTAAATACCTTGTTATTGAATGCCATCAGCACATTCCCATTTCTTTGAACAGCATATCTTGAACCTGACCAACCATTCGGCCACCAACGTAATGAATTTCTAAAACCCCAAAGATTTGCACTCTTAAGAGCAGTTTATTAGGGGAAAACTAAAAAATGGCAATACCGATTAAAAGGTGGATGACAGATCCCAAAGAATGGCCAATGCCGAAAGTAGGAAGATCTTGAACCTGTACAATCAAGCATCTCAGGTTTTTATTGACCAAAAAAAAAAGCATCTCAGGTTTTTAGTGGAGGAAGAAAATTAAGCAGAACTAGAAACATACAGATTCTGAAGACAAGAAATAAAAAACACACCGTCTCTTTAAGAAACCGATAGCACCTATCAAATTTGAATTGGGTTTCATCTGCAATGAAGAAGTGATCAAATCCACTAGCATATGGTGTTGCAATCACCAAAATACCCCTACAACACAAAAATGGCTGAATCATATTTTCTTCTTTCTCAAATGCAGAAAACTCCATCAAAACCAATAGTAGATAGACAAAGACCAAATACAACTTTCTATTAAAAGAAATCGGGGCTGCATATAAGCTGTATTAGCACGATACAAACTATAAAAGTTAATTACCAGACAACCAAAGTTTTAACTGAATCTCACTTTTCTGAGAGGCGCTCAAGAAACAAACGGTAGGTAAGCTGAGGGGCAGCTCCAACAAAAACACCACCGATAAAATGTACAACGGCCTTGGGTTCTGAGTTTCTCGGTTTGAGAACCCATGCTCCCTGAAATAGAGAACGATAGATACATTTAGTAAGGTTATAAAGAATATCCTTACCCCAGAAAAGAAACCTACAATAGATAGAGTACAAACATATTTGGCTGCTTTTCAATCCGTGTCTAACATATACTCTTTATTCCTTGAAAAAGGTTTGCAGGCTTCCAAATTAGAGCCTTATGAAATGCTCGAGAAAGTTTCTAGGATTAACAATTGTAGCCACTACCTGGTTTACTCATCATTCATTTTGAATGGTCATAATGGGTGCGAACTTGTATAAGTTGCATTTCGAGGCGAATAAGGAAGCAGAAGCCACTAAGCAAGGATGACCAAGTAAAGAAGAAACTCTCAGGCTGCTTAAGTCCTTACTAATGAGAGCATAATTTGTTCAGGGTGTTTGACATACATTGTTTCCTTGCACAGTTTTATCATTCTAAATCTTGCTTTTGTAACTCGAAACAAAGAACAAAACTTACTACGCAAATTCGATCAAGTTTTCGATCCACCATGCATATTTGATATAGTTTCATCTCAAAGCTATATCTATCCAGAAATCACTTGCACAACAGATTTTTAACTAAATAAACACCCGGAAGTGGTTCCGGACACAGAATTAATCTCGGAATATAAACATAACTGAAGAAAATTTGAAATCCTGTGCCGGTCGACAAATCTGAAGAAAAAAAAAGAAAAAAAAAAAAAAAGACCAGCATGAAATGATACCTCAACTTGATTCCAGTCTCCTGTACCATCCCAACGACCTTGGGATTGCCTCACAGTCTCTGTAAGTAACCTACAAGCACATAAAAATAAAAATAACACCCAAGAAAGCGATATTCTAAACTACTCTAATTCAGCGGAATTCAAACCCGGGATGCAAGGGGGCAGTCGCACACACTGCCCCGAACAACTCACCTCTCAATCTCAGAATAGAGCTGAATCCCAGTTGGTTGTGGACCCTGTGGACTTGGTGGTTGTGATTGTCTCCTGGTGGTTTCGTCGTCGTAGTTGCAGCAAATCCCACTGCGACGACGGCGTTGAGAATTCGGGAGGCTGAGGACGCGGCTCTGCTGCCGAATCAGCAGCCGCTTACTGAACGATTGATGAGGGTGGAGATTGGGATGGGGCTGCGGACTCCTCACCCAGCAACTGGCCATGCTTTTCCTGCTCAAAGGCTTCAAATTTTACCGACCCAAATGCAAAAGCTTCGATCTTTTGCTTCAAATTCCACTCTATTTTTGTCGCTCTTGTTCAATTGGTCAGCTGCTTGCCATCATCTTCTTTCTTCAGAATTTCAATCAGTACAAAAATTGAAATTGATGATGTGGCCCAACCTGAAGCCCACACCATCTAAACGTCACCGTTTCCTTCAGCTCTTTACAAGGTCCAACAACGAACAAAGTTTTTGTACTTAAAGAAGACAGCTTTGTCTGTCTGTCCGTCTGAAAAAATAGTTTTCCTTCCCAAGTTTGGAACAAGAGACCAAGAAGATGCGTACTCTGTACTTATCACTGAAGAAAATGCCCAAGTTCAAACGCCGGCTGCTCCTGGCGGCGCTGCTTGCGCTGGCAGTCTCCTCCGCCTCATGGTTCTCCATCTTCCTCCTCCAGTTGTCCGAACAAAAGAGCCATAATTTGGGTCTGTCAGCTCCTCTTCCTCCAGATTCAGGCCCTTACCACGACTGGCGTCTCTTCGCCGCCGATTTCCGAGAAATGCTCCAAACCTTCCAGATTTACGTCTATCCCACCAATTCCAACAAGTCCGATCCTCCTTCCTCCTCCGCCTCATTCGCTTCCTTCGCCGCCGTCTTCCTCCCCCACCCCAACCCCTTCAACCCGAAGCTCGGAAACTACTTCAGCGAGCACATGTTCAAGATCTCTCTCCTCTCCAGCTCCCTCGTCACCACCGACCCACAAAAAGCCCACCTCTTCTTCCTCCCATTCTCCGTTAATCTCCTCCGCAACGACCCCCGAGTCCACTCCGAGTCCTCCGTCGCCGAGTTTGTCGCCAAATACACTGCCGCCGTCGGCCGAGACTTCAAGTTCTGGAACGCCTCCTCTGGATCCGACCACTTCTACGCCTGCTGTCACTCTGTTTGCAGAGAGGCCGCCGCTAAACATGCCGGGCTGCACAACAATGCGATCCAGCTCACTTGCTCCTCCAGCTACTTTCAGAGATTGTATGTTACGCATAAAGATGTCGCCTTGCCGCAGGTTTGGCCGCGGCCTCCTCTGCAATCCCTCAACCCTCCACATGCTAGGTACCATTTTTATCACCCAATTTCTTAAATTGGAATTTGTATTTCTAACCCAACATTTTAATTTGCATTTTTCGTTTTTGGGTAATGTTCACTTTCTTTGTCAAACTGTTAATTTAATACGATGCTAACCACTGGTTGACAGTCTGACAACGTAAAATATACGATGTGATGCTTGTACAACTCTCCACTGTTGAATAATGTTCACTAGCTATGTCAATTGTGACCAATGTTACCATATAAATTGCTCTTTGACAGTAACGTAGTGGTGTTATGCTCGATGCAGAGATAAGCTCGTTTACTTCTCCGGACGAATCCAAAA